TCTCCCATTCTTGGGAGAATTGACAAACTAGTGTCTCAAATCATTATTTCTGATTCCTATGAAGAACACCCATTGAAAATGGCTGCTGCACTGAGGAATGGCCAGGCAGGTAGCACAGAGCTGGGCAAAAAGGCTGTCTTACACTGAAATTGTGGAAGACCTTGTGGGTTCCCAAGAGTTGGCTGTATTTATTCTAATCCTACATACATGTTACTCTTTAAGAAACTGATTTCTCCTATGAAAAGTTGGCAAAATGAAGGTATTAGATATGTGTATACTTGTACTGTTTTATTTTCAAAATAGTATTTTTTTTCTTGGTCTTTACTTTCAAATTAAAAAAGAAGAGGCATATTGTCTTGCATATCAAGTAAAAAATCTAAATGAAAGAAACGTCTCAAAGGAGTCATCTGAGATGGAGTATAAAATAAGAGGCATAACCTAGCATCTTCCAAGAGTGGAATTTTGTGGTTCTTGCCATTCATTCATTCGTTCACCTATTCACCCCTTTTTTATACTCAGCTAGGATTACTGAATGTTCAGTGGGGAATCGAATAGTCCCAGCTATGCACTCTTACAGATTAGAGACTGCTGAATTCTAATTAAAGTAAAATTTCATTTTCTGCAAAAAGATGCTATTTTTAAAATTCCGTAGCAAATGAAACAGAAGACAAGAAAGCTCGATTTGTGAATTGATGATTTTGAGTCTGTCTTTCCCTGCAGGTACAGATGTCCAGTGAGACACGGGACAAATCGTACTTACTACCACCACAGCCTGCCAAGCAGTTCCTCATCTCGCCCCCAGCCTCCCCCCCAGTGGGGTGGAAGCAGAGTGAAGACGCAATGCCTGTGATAAATTACGATTTACTTTGTGCTGTTTCCAAATTGGGACCAGGTAACAACTTTATATATTTCCTTTTCTCCCTCAAGAGACATTTTTTTTATTGAAGACCACATTCAGAAATTTGTTTTCTGGCCAGTTAATGATAGCATGTTAAAGTAACAGGTGAAGTCACACAAACCTGGGTTCAAATTCTGTCTGTGACATTCGTTACCTTTATTATCTTGAGTAAGTTAATTAGTCACAGTTTTCTGAGCCTCAGTTTTCTCATCTATGAAATAAGCAGCAGTCAAGAAGTCAAGTGACACATTGCATTGGACAAATCAGCTACAAAAGACTTCTTTAAAGTGTTAAAAAGTGTTTGAAGACTGAGGTGTGCCTCACCTAAGCCATGGTATTTCCATCACCTCATAATGCTTGTGAAAGCTGGACAGTCAATAAGGAAGACTGAGGAAGAATTGATGCATTTGAATTATGGTGTTGGTAAAAAATATTGACTATACCATGAACTGCCAGAACAGCATCCCAGTCTGTCTTGAGGGAAGTACAGTCAAATGCTCCTTAGAAGTGAGGATGGCAAGACTTTGTCTCTCATACTTTGGTCATGTTGTCAAGAAAGACCAGTCCCTGGAGAAAGGGTATCATGTGTGTAAAGTGGAGGTCAGTGAAAGGGGAAGGTCCTCAGTGAGATGAACCGACGTAGCGGCTGCAACAGCGGGCTCAAGCACAGCAGTGACTGTGAGGGTGACAGGGCCGGGCAGTGGGGCCCCTGTGACTCAGAATGGACTTGATGGCACCTGATAACAAAAACAGAACAGGAATTATCATAATATTTACTTCTCATTGTGGTTATAACCATTAAATGATTGGTATACATCATAATGAATACAGCTGTAATTTTTATTGTTGCAAATTCTGTTGTTGTTTGTTGTTATGTGCCATGGAGTCAGATCCAACTCATAGCGACCCCTCCTTGGGTTTCCAAGGCGGTATCACTACAGAAGTAGATTGCCCGACCTTCCTTCCGAGGAGTGGCTGGTGGGTTTGAACTGCTGTTAGTACATAATAAGTGAATATTAGCTGGCTTCTCCTCCACCTCGTCAAAGTACCAGACAGACAGCTTCTATATTAAATAGTATTTCAGGGATAGGTGGTGATACTATATCATCCCTTGGAAATTCTTCTTCTCTTTTATTTCTTTTCCATTTTTTTCCCCACTCTTTAATTTTTCTCTCTCATCTATTTAAATAATGTAAGAAATTAATCCCGTGCTGGTTGAGTGTAGTTGTTGGTTTCAGGCATTGTTATGTCTGCATGGGTTAAAAGTGGCTCGGTGCTATGTTTAGACATTAGTGCAGTATCCTGGATGTCTGGGGCCCTGTGATAAAGAGATTGCTGACGCTGCCTGGAACTTCACAGGTGTCTCTGAAGGGAAAAACTGAAACCATTATGAAGTTACACAGATCCACTGTTGTTTATGGAACAGTCACTAACATTTACATTGTCACTCGCAAGACCTCAGTACTCTTCACCAGCTCATTTCTTGAGATTGCACAATTTTATTAGAACCTTAAAGCATCAGCTCTCTAACCCCAACATAACATAAGGTACTCTGATGTAAGAATTAAGGATTGAAAGGAATATAATGAGCAATTAAGATAGAAGAGGAGACTACTCCTTGCTGGAGGCGAGGCTATGTTTCGTTTCTTACTTTGTTTATCTCCACAGGAGAGAAATACGAACTTCATGCAGGAACTGAGTCGACACCAAGTGTGGTGGTTCACGTCTGTGAAAGTGAAACTGAAGAGGAAGAAGAAACGAAAAACCCCAAACAGAAAATCACCCAGACAAGGCGCCCTGACCCTCCGACCACAGCGCTGAATGAGCCCCCAAACCTTTGACTGTGTGTTGTGAGGCCTTTGATGGTGGTGCAAGGCAGCTGCCCTGGGCTTTGGCAGTGAGGACCTGTGCCCCTACTGACCGTGGATACATTGCTGCTTGAGTGTAGGTGAGACTAGGAGTGGAAGAAGTGTGTGCAGGCCTTTCACCAAGCCTGTGCTGCAGACGGGCTGGCACAGAGTAGCAGTTGATTTTACTTGTTCCAAATTTTAACTGATGTTTTGAACAACACTTTAAATTCAAGGATCAGCCCCTAAGATATGGCAACTCTTGACCACTTTTAAATAATAGGAAAATGCCCCCCACCCACAAGCAGTGTTAGTTTCTCTGATTACATATAGCATAGAGTACCAAAAACTGAAGCTATAGTCACCCACTATGGTACCATTTTTATGAATTTTAAAATAGTCTTAAAATTTTAATTAAGCGTGGGTATTTTTGTACTGGTATAATAGCTTCTGGCTAACATATTAATCAAAAGTTAGTGTTATTCAGTATACATGAAATTTTTTGCATGAAAAGAAATGTGAAATACAAAATAATTCATACGAAATCATTATTCTCAAGTTTTTTTTCCTTAGGAGCCTTGGGTGCAGTGGTTAAGGGCTCAGCTGCTAAATGAAAGGTTGGCAGTTCAAGCCCACCACCCACTCTGTAGGAGAAAGGTAAGGCCGGCTGCTTCCACAACATTCACAGCCTTGGAAACAAGACGAGGCAGTTCTACTCTGCCCTCCAGGGTTGCTGTGGGTCAGAATTGGCTCAGTGAAAATAGTGGGTTTGGTTTTTGGAGTACATTTTTTTTTCTTTTGGTTTGGGCAGGACTTGCCACATTCACTTTATCAGAATCAAAGGCCCAAATCCATGTGTGCCGTTCTCTTCCTTGGAAATCAGAGGAAGGTGATGCTCAGACCACCGTTTGTAGTCATCCTTTCCAGAGATAGGCTACCCAGAAAAAACTGCTACTTTGAGAGTGGGACATACCACCAGTAAGCTTGGCTGATTAAGATTTCAGGTGGCTACTGCATTCCACTGTTTGTGACCATGTCTAGCTTGTTGAATTGTCATCAGCCACCAGTTTTTTATCCTGTTACCTCGTCCAGTGTTGCGTTAGTCCTTGGGTTTTTCTACATGATGCATACATTTGCATATTCACTGATGGTCTTCAGATTTTCTGACAACCGTTTCAAACTTGTCCATTTAAACATTTCCACTTGCTTTGGAAGAGAGGTTACACATACTCTGTTCCTGTGAGTTAGGGAAAGAAGGAGATCATTTTATAAGTCGTACTTTTTTTGGGGAGATATTTTTTACCCTTACAGTTACCATTTTTCTCTAAAACAGAATTGCTTCTCACCTATGTTTTAGATTGTCTACTTGAGCCTCCTAAAGTAAAAGCAGCATCTTTCTCACACTT